ACAGCCAATGGGAGCTGCAGGGATGGCGCCTGCGGACAGGGCAGCGGGCAGAGCCGCCTGGCTGCGCCTCCACTTAGGAGCCGGAGGGAGGACATGCTGCTGCTTCCGGGAGCTGCTTGAGGTAAGATCTGCACCCCTGACTCCCTCCTGCACCCCAACCACATGCCCCAGCCCTGATTCCCCTCCCACCCTCCAAACCCCTCAGTTCCAGCCCGGAGCACTCTCCTGCACCCCCAACCCTCATCCCCAGCCCCACCCCAGAGCCCGCACCCCCAGCTGGAGCCCTCACCCCCTCCTACACCCCAACTCCCAATTTCATTCATGGCCCGCCATACAATGTCCATACCCAGATGTGGCCCTCAGGCCAAAAAGTTTGCCCACCCCTGTGCTAGAGAAATGACAACATATTGAAAGGTTTGAGATATGCTTGTGTGGTCACTTATATTTTCTATAATGTTCCCCAGATTTTTATATATAAAATTTCTCCAGATTTGGCCTTCAAACCAGTGTGCTCTTTTCACTGCAGACAATGCCCTGAGGTGTTTTATGCTGAGATAAAGCACACTTGGATAATTATTACCTCAAGTACATTATGGACTGACTCAGTCTCTCTCATCATCATCATTATCTAATTGTGCTCAAATAATAAATCTTAAAATCCATTGCCTTCTCTACTGTTCAGCTTGATTAAATGTAAATGCTCCATAGCAACTAGGAAAGCCTGGCAGAAAGCATTATGGTAGTATTCTTTGTTTCTAGTGATAACTATTTCTAACCCTTCTCCCACTAGCGATCTGTCATTAGTTAATCATTGTTTAAAATACAATAAAAGCAGGTCTGATGAACCTTTAAAAATGGGTCAGCTGGTCACATTATGATCCAAATTTTTCACCAAGTAAAACACAGTTTGGGGTTGCCACCTCTCTTAATTAGACAAACACCACACAAATAAACAAACTTGAATCTGACATACAACTAGCTGTCTGAGCTCTGAGAACATTTTTTAGTCATGTACTTTAAACCTACTACTTGAAAGATCAAGGTTTTCTTTTAGCTTGGTTTTAATTCAGACAAGATCAAAACAAACAGGCTGCTCCATCGAGTAAATTTTACACTTCTCAATGTTCTCTCCCAAGCCAATCTTTTAAGAAGTTATGGACCTCAAACTGGAGTGAATAATGAAAAGTGAAAACAATCTAACTAAAAAGAAAAAGAGATGTTTGCAAATATACTAGACTGAGCAGAGATAGCAGATGAAACAGTGGAAGCTGCTAGTGACATGTTCTTGGACCCAGGGAAAGGTTTAGGCTGTGACAGAGAGCTGGGGCTTGCAAGCACTCTGCAGAGGACACAGTAAAAGCATGAATGGATGTACAAAAGAATGTTACAAGGAGAACAATAGTGACATCTCAGAACTGAGCCATGTATGAGTTCAGGTATAAGACAACCACTCTATAGTTACAGCAACACATGTATTTTCTGTGGAATACATAGATTCATAGATTCATAGATTCTAGGACTGGAAGGGACCTCGAGAGGTCATCGAGTCCAGTCCCCTGCCCGCATGGCAGGACCAAATACTGTCTAGACCATCCCTGATAGACATTTATCTAACCTACTCTTAAATATCTCCAGAGATGGAGATTCCACAACCTCCCTAGGCAATTTATTCCAGTGTTTAACCACCCTGACAGTTAGGAACTTTTTCCTAATGTTCAACCTAGACCTCCCTTGCTGCAGTTTAAGCCCATTGCTTCTTGTTCTATCCTCAGAGGCTAAGGTGAACAAGTTTTCTCCCTCCTCCTTATGACACCCTTTTAGATACCTGAAAACTGCTATCATGTCCCCTCTCAGTCTTCTCTTTTCCAAACTAAACAAACCCAATTCTTTCAGCCTTCTTTCATAGGTCATGTTCTCAAGACCTTTAATCATTCTTGTTGCTCTTCTCTGGACCCTTTCCAATTTCTCCACATCTTTCTTGAAATGCGGTGCCCAGAACTGGACACAATACTCCAGCTGAGGCCTAACCAGAGCAGAGTAGAGCGGAAGAATGACTTCTCGTGTCTTGCTCACAACACACCTGTTAATACATCCCAGAATCATGTTTGCTTTTTTTGCAACAGCATCACACTGTTGACTCATATTTAGCTTGTGGTCCACTATAACCCCTAGATCCCTTTCTGCCGTACTCCTTCCTAGACAGTCTCTTCCCATTCTGTATGTGTGAAACTGATTTTTTCTTCCTAAGTGGAGCACTTTGCATTTGTCTTTGTTAAACTTCATCCTGTTTAACTCAGACCATTTCTCCAATTTGTCCAGATCATTTTGAATTATGACCCTGTCCTCCAAAGCAGTTGCAATCCCTCCCAGTTTGGTATCATCCGCAAACTTAATAATCGTACTTTCTATACCAATATCTAAGTCGTTAATGAAGATATTGAACAGAGCCGGTCCCAAAACAGACCCCTGCGGAACCCCACTCGTTATGCCTTTCCAGCAGGATTGGGAACCATTAATAACAACTCTCTGAGTACGGTTATCCAGCCAGTTATGCACCCACCTTATAGTAGCCCCATCTAAATTGTATTTGCCTAGTTTGTCGATAAGAATATCATGCGAGACCGTATCAAATGCCTTACTAAAGTCTAGGTATACCACATCCACAGCTTCTCCCTTATCCACAAGACTCGTTATCCTATCGAAGAAAGCTATCAGATTGGTTTGACATGATTTGTTCTTTACAAATCCATGCTGGCTGTTCCCTATCACCTTACCACCTTCCAAGTGTTTGCAGATGATTTCCTTAATTACTTGCTCCATTATCTTCCCTGGCACAGAAGTTAAACTAACTGGTCTGTAGTTTCCTGGGTTGTTTTTATTTCCCTTTTTATAGATGGGCACTATATTTGCCCTTTTCCAGTCTTCTGGAATCTCTCCCGTCTCCCATGATTTTCCAAAGATAATAGCTAGAGGCTCAGATACCTCCTCTATTAGCTCCTTGAGTATTCTAGGATGCATTTCATCAGGCCCTGGTGACTTGCAGGCATCTAACTTTTCTAAGTGATTTTTAACTTGTTCTTTTTTTATTTTATCTGCTAAACCTACCCCCTTCCCATTAGCATTCACTAGGTTAGGCATTCCTTCAGACTTCTCGGTGAAGACCGAAACAAAGAAGTCATTAAGCATCTCTGCCATTTCCAAGTTTCCTGTTACATCTGCAGACCTAGAGTATAGCACAACCAAGCACGTTCCTACAGAAGACAAAACGCACAAGTTACAGAAAAAATATTAAAACAGGACTCTCTGGATAGCTAAGAAAGGTGGTGGTTCAGACAAGTATCTTGTTTGAACGGCATAGATTTTTACCCTCTAAGGAACAATATATTTGAATCAGAAGTCAAGACAAACATTTAAATATTCAGCTAATGCCAGAGTAAAGAGCACAAAGGTCTTATGGTCATTTTTGTTGTGATCAATCCCAAAAGGTTGTTTATATTCTTACCTATATGGAGTAGGGATTTGCTTTTTCAAGAATGTATTTTATACTCCATTTTCTTGGTGCAGCAGTTTAAGTAAAGATATACTGAGGGCTAAAATTAGTTAAACAATTATTGTATGTGAAAGCTTCTCAAGCAATGATGTTATCAATATAATTATGAAAATAGGGTGTAGTACTTTGCTTAGTCTCCCTTTGCTGGCTGGATGTCTGACACTATGGCATCAGAACAAAAATACAGAGTCAAACAAAAAGTGTTTTGAAAGAAATTTGAGATATTAGCAGCTAAAAAAAGTCAGTATTCATAAATATTTTTAAAGTGTCTTGGTGAGAGAATAGCAGGTAAAAAAACCAAAACAAAGTCTTTAGAACAGAAAGAACATTTCCTACCAAATTATGCAATTTTAAGATACTGTAGGTTACATTTTGAGCCTCTATTATTTGAGAGTAGTTCATATTATTGAAGGGGAGACTTTTTGTTCCTGGCCACTTAAAGTGGGCTAAAATGTGCAAGGTAAATTATTTTCAAAGCTTTTAGGAGCAAAAACTGTAAAAGAGAAAAGAAAAAAGGTACATGAATTCACTCTTATTCTTTTGACAATTATTATTATGTAAATAGCAACATTGTAAACGTCACCCATTTTCCCCACAGTCTGAGGAGTCTGTTCACCCTAGATATACATGTATAATTCTCAGTATTATACAGCAATTATGAATGCTCAGTGAAGTGAGAATAGACTCTGAATTACTATCTTTGTTCCTTTTTAAATCCTGTATTAATTGTATAGTTAAATCTTATTAGAAAAAAACACAGTTAAATAGAAATAAATCAACTTAGTGCCTTTATAGAGAAGTCAACCCCCAAATGAATGGATCTACTGACATCCCCTACATGGCACATCCCATAATACTGAGGTCTGTAACACTACAGTAAATATCAAAGATCCTACTATACACAGTGTGTTATCACTCAAAGCGTTAAACTGCATTTTGCATTTTCTTCTTTGAACTTCTAAAAGGCATTGTCTTTGTTTAGGTATATTCAAATCCAGATGGATCTTTATATTAGCTTGCCTAATTTATTAACCTATTTATTTCTTGATAATTTTAACACTGCTGTAATGCAATGTAAAGGATTTTCACTGGCTATTTTAATTATTATGAAACTTTGGTGTCCTCGCTACTGGCGACAAAACAGTTTTATTTTTAACATCAGATTTTCTTTTTTGAAAATGTAAATTATATTCCTCACTTACAAAGATATTTGATTAATTTTGTCTGAGATCAGTTTGCATCTTGCAATTTCCTTGCAAACAAAAATTCAACACTCCAACAATAAACAACTTCAGAATACATAAAACTAGGCAACATATTTTCCCAATATTCTGCAAACTTGAATAAAGTTCCGCCCCCCACTCCCATGTACACACACACACACAATCACAGCACTTCTAAACACCAAACAGGGAGACATTTGCAAAAAGACAATGCAAAAAAGCATTACCTTTGGAAAGAGGAAGAGAAGGAATCTTGTACTACAGAGATGGGAGTGGCTGATGGTGGTGTCATCTGACTGGATGTGTTTTGAGTAGCAGTAGCAGGCTGATTGGCTGAAGCAACTGGCACAGGAGCAGAGGCAGAGCTGGTAGACACTGGCGCATGCTCAACAGGGGTACTAATTAGAGTTAAATTAAATAAAACAAGAAGCATCTTAAAAAGTGTAAGTTTACTGTGTAAAGGCACAAAACCCACTGTGTTTGGCCCCAAAAGTTGCAGAGTGGCAAGCTGTATTATTGGGGGGAAAAGCACAGATATGGAAGGTCAAAAGCACATTTGTTAAGCTTTTTCTGTAGCTGAGTTAGGACTAAAATTAGGTTTAATGCTGAGTTCAATAATGTTCTCATTTGGGTGAAATTCATCCCACAGCACATAAGGTCTTACTGCCCAATCCTGGTCCCACTGAAGTTAATGGCAAAAAAACTCCCAGCACGTGAGACTTAGGTGGTTGTGTAGAGGCCTGCAAGAACTGTCAGTGCTAGGGTAAATTTCACTCACTTATGCATAATGTTAACTTCCGGATCAGAGATTACATTAGGTGGAAGCATTAAAAAAATTACACTGATGAAAGGAAACCAGTTGTACGATATCGTCATAGGCCTGAATAAACAGAATTGCTACAAGTTACTGCTGTTCTGGATGTTACTGAGCAGAAACCATCGGGGTGTAATCTCCTCAGTGCAATGTGCAGGGTGGTGCAGTGCTACGGAGCTAATTATGGCTCAGTCATTCTCTGCTCAGCACTTTCTTCATCCCACCAAAAGTTTGAGTAGCAAGCCATGGCCCTGACATGCCCCTCTCCACCCCCAACATCAGGGCTGAAAGAAGGGACGGGGCAGCATATGAGTTTGCTATACCAGTCCTAAGCCTGCTTGGGAGATGAAGTTAGTTTCTGCTCCCTTTGTCACACAAGTGGAGCAGGAGCAGACCAGAGCAACGTATCTGCCCTTATCTGATGACAAAATAGGCTTATTGAAACCAAAACTACATCTAGTCTTCTTGAGTACAAAATATTGATTGTAACACTTTATTTAGGTACTTCTATGTCCCTCAGCACCATGATATCTGAACACCTCGCAATTGTTAATGGAGTTTATCCTTACAACAACTCTGTGAGGTGAGGAAGTGTTATCCTATTTTACAGATGGGAAATTGAAGTACAGTGTAGATTAACTGATTTGCACAAGGCTACACAGGAAGTTTGTGGCTCATCTGGGGAATTGAACCTAAAGCTCCTGAGTCCTAGGCCATTGCCTATCGATTAGACCATAGCCCCTACCCAGCATGAATAGCACATGCTACATTCAGGAGGAACTCTCCAAGTCCTGTGCTGAAATGTTTTAATGACACATGTGAAAAACAGAAGGCAAATAGTGAATTTACTAGCCAGCTGTCAGCAAATGAAATAAACACACCTGAGTCATTTGGAACTATCCCATTTGAAAAGGAAACAAACACAATTCAAAAGAAAGAAACAGGGAAAGGGAACAATTTTATATTTACAAAAAAAATCCCCATCTCTTTCTCTTTCTATATTGTATCTACTATTAGCTACAGAATGAATAAACTAGTGAAAATATCCACCACATCTACAATTTAGGCTTTCAAATTCTTCCACAGAAATTTTCCAACCTTCATACACATATGCAAAACTCAGATCTAATCCTCATTGTTCTTGATGTCATATTTTAACATGCTGTGGATTCATTTGCCTCAGCCACTATCCGAATATATTATGTATTATTTAAAGCATATAACACTGTAGTTGTACAATGCCCTGGCTTCAGAGCTATGAATGCAATACCATGTTTACAGATAAAAGAAAACACAATGTATTTGACTGTCTCTGCAAGCAGTGTGGTAGCTGCATTTCCTCTTTTTGGAATGGATATCACACCAACGTGGAGATACTCTACATTTTACTGTTATGTCTTAGGTCTGGCAAATTTGCATGGACTGAAATCATGCCTCAAACAAAATAGGATTTACTGTATGTTTTTTCTTAAGAGGAAACACAAACGAGCAAGACAAAAACCATGGGTGAAATCCTGTTCTCACTACAGTCAATGGGAATTTTGCCACAGGCTTCACTGGGGTAAGGGTTTCACTCCATGGGTAATAAGCCTATGGTATGGTTATTCAATTTTTGTAGTGGATCTTTTAAATGTGAGCTGAAACACATCCCCAATAATTAATCAAACAAAGGAACACTAAGAACTTATGTGGACATGTACCTGTGTGGGGGCAGGTTTGAGGCGGATGGGCATGTTACAGTAGATATAATAAAACTGAACGCAAAGACATTAGAATACATTATAAGGACATCAAACAATAATGTTACATGTTTTTAAGGTTTCTTTACTTAGGCACTAGAAATCTAAAAGTCACAGAGGCCTGAATTCTTCTCCTGCAACTGCAGATCACTAGGATATGCATTCATTATTCCAGAGAATAAGAAAATAGTTACACAAAGCATATATAAATAGCTAAATTAGCAATGTGATCTTGCTACCTTTAACTTCTGCACTTTGGACCTAATACTTTGTTTACTTTTACCAGTAGAATCCAGAGTAACTTCACTGTCTTTACTGGAATTACTCCAGATTTACCACAGTGTAATGACAGCAGAAACGGGTTGTTCCCTGTTTTATGAATGCTTGTAGTTCTGTTGAACAATCAGTTTTTGTATTAACCCCTATAAAACCTTAGACTGGAAATACTGTCCCTACTAAAGGCAATGGGTGGTTTGCCATTGACTTCACCAGAGCCAGGATTTCACCTTTTGTATCTGCAGGAGGCACATTCCATAGACACTAAAGAGCAAGTTGTAGAAATATGTGGCGATTTAGCAAGTGTCTCTCTCTTTTTTGGGTAGAAATAATAATACTTAAGACATATACAATGTCTGCAGCTTGAAAGCTCTTTATGAACATTAACTCTTAGAACTCTTCTTTTTAGAAATGGGGAAACAAATCCAAAGGGAATTCTGCCCTCAGTTAATATATTCATCCCACTGAATGGGTGTAACTTGGGGCAGAATTCAGAGTAACCAAAAACCACCATGAGAATCAGTGGCAGAGCCAGGAGGTTCCTAGCAGTTCTTCAGATGTCTGTTGATTGACTAAGGATGAAGTCATGGTTTATAAAATGAAACAGCTACCGTATATCAGGGCATGAATAATAATTTTATGAGTAAAGTGGTTACTGTTGTTTCCTTACTGGTTCTTCTCCAGTTCACTTTTAACCAACCACCCTACTCCATCAGTCTTTACAGTATTTTATATTTTAAGGGGATAATCAAAGGAAATGTAAGTTCTTAAATAGCTCAATATTTTCTTAATAAAGTATAAAATGAAATATTCAGCATGGTAAAGTTATGTGGATGAATATACACACACACGTACGTATATTCTGTTACCATTTTGATGTTCACTCATGAGAAGGAACACAGTTCAGCAGAGGTTAAGCAGATGATAATGATTAACAACCATATTTAAAACACATACACAAACACACACAAACACTTAAAAATAAGTACAGATTACACTCCTTTACCTGAGAAGAGTCCTAGTCCTATGAAATTCCGGGTCTAAGAGTCTTGCAATAGTAACTAAAGAGCAGGTTATTAAAGCAGTAATTAGTCTCTTTTAAGCAATGCACAAAGTTGTTTTTGTTTCAGGTGCTCCAAAGAAATCTCTGGTAGGGTAAAGGATTGAAATTGTAGGGAAGATAAATCAAAATGAGCAGTCAAAGAACTAATCTCTTCTACCGTAGCATATATTAATGATGGAAGTGCTGGAGATTGCAGTTAGAGCAGAACACAACATGGATGTGTTTTGGACTTGCATTAGTAGAAAGAAGAGCTCTATTCAGATGCCAACAGCATCCATTCAATAGACTGGGCTGCTGTTTCTGTGGAGATGGTTCCTATGTGGCTGTCACTTGCCTGGTGGTAGAGGAAGCCATTAAGAAAGTCACTTACAATGGGAAGCATATGAACTAAAAGCGGGTGAAATTTATAGTACTTAGATATTTGCCTTTTAGGCAATGGGATTTTTCATATGAAAGAGTTAGAGAATGTTATTACAAAACCATACCAAAGCCACAAGCCAGGTCAGTTATGGAGTTACATGTTGCAGTGTACCTTTGATTACTGGATGAAGTAAGAGGGGCTTTCTGGCCAGTCCTGATGTAACTGGCTTCCCTTTGACTTGTACCCGTTCCAAACCTCACGGAACCCTTGGAGGCCACTGGCTTAGCTTTGTCAATGTTGGCATCCATGGTGCGTGACTTAGGAGGATGCCAAACACTTGAGGTCACATACTGTGCCACATGATGAGAACCTGTAGGGCTGGGTAACAAAGATTAGAAGGGTGTATGTGCATGAGATATATTTTTAACCGCATTACCAGTTGCTTAAATGAATATTAGGTCTTTCAGAGCGAAGAAGAGTACCAGCCAAAAAAGCAGCCAGTGCCTTTAAGTGAGAAGTGTTTTATTTGTTCCACTTAGTTTTTTGAGATCCAAATGCTTACCATGTAATCTAACAAACGGGACATCATTTCAGAACACTCATGTCTACCCCTCTGACGTAGGACTTAGTATTTCAAGGCACTGGGAAAGGCCTTAAGGAAAAAGAGTGAGAAACTGCTGAACCTCAACATTAAAAAAAGTCAGGTTAGCTTTTTGTTTGATGAAGAAGGCTTCAGTTTTGTGACTGACATCTTATTTGGGAAGAGATTTACATCAGCAAATCTCTAATGTCCTCTTATTTTATCCCCTAAGTCTCTTTTGATATCATTGCAGAATCACATGTGAAATCATCCCAATCTTCAATGCCATATTAAAGACTATGGCCAGGAGTCATTCTGAGAACCAGGATAGAGATCTACAGGTTCACTACAGTCTTCTTTATCCTTCAGCTAAAACTGGAGACAACATTATTGACATCATAGTATCAAAATAAGACCTAGCAGAAATGAGACACTGGAGACAATAGAGGTGAAGACATGTTACAACACAACCAAACATAAGTGACTCAGTAGGTATAGTGTGACCCCAAAACCAGACAGATGTCTGAAATTGTTCAAGATAGTCCAACAAAGAGAGATTTGCAGTTAAGTTTCAATGAAGCAACCATGTAATCTTGTGGTCAGTCCTACACAAGCAATAGTGATAGATACTACCCTTCATTCCCTGCTTCTGTTATTTAATGTAGATGTGGTTGCTAATTATTTCATATATCAACTCCCTCCCCCTCTGTTCCATCTTATTGGTATGACCCAGTGAACTGCTGTTTCCCCCCCCCCCTTACTGGGAATCCCAGTCACGATTGGTCATGTTGTTAGTGGTGACAATCCTCACACTTACTCTGATTTTAATTCTCTGCAATACTTGTTCAAATACGGGTTATTTTAAAAGCAGACATAAAACCTTGTTGTGTGTGAAGTAATCAAGATATCAGAGGAAGGCACTGTCTTAAATCTTTATTTCTATGCTCTGAACTTATAAAGAGTTGCTATGCTCTGATAAATAATGGCAGTGCTTCATCCTAGAAGTAGCTGCATTTCAGTGTTTGGTGCTGAAATTATTTTTATCTACATCTACATAAATGTGTATAATATAGATATACACGTAGATAGTTTATGAATTTTGTAAGTGCATTGGGATCTTTTGGGAGGAAAAGCACTATATCAATGCAAAGAAATACTATATATAGGAAGGATTAGTATCTTTTTAATCCATGATCAATACAACTCAAGAATCAGATTTAGAATTGCTTTTAAAATGTCAAGAAGTTCAACTAATTTAGATTTAAAAAACCTGTGGAGCAGCTCAGACCACAACATTGGAATCTGATTAAAAATGGAAATGGTTCTTGAACTTCTGGACTGTTCGCCTCTGCTGAACAACGACAATATTGAACTTCAAAAACATTGATTAAATGCTGCTTATTTTTCTGTTTTCTAGAATTAAAGGTAATGTGGTATATTTTGCACAATTCCAATACAGTCTGCCACCTGGCCAGGAATCTTTCAAATATCTGAATGAAAATGAACATCTCTAGCAAATCATCTCAGCTGAAACACCATTATAATTCATCTGTTCAAAGAGTGCATACATCTGATGTATTTTTAGGTAAAAACTTTGTGTGGAAAGTCTGAGGGAAAAAGAATACAAGGCAAACGTTACCTGTTTTCAGCTGCTGCAGCAACATTTTCCTTGCCACTGTGAAAGGAGGGGATACAGTATGAATAAAGCAAGTGCAAGTACCAGTGGTGGGGGAAGAAGGAAGAATAGCAGCAAAAGAAGGCAGTGTGAGGACAGATGTTTGGTTATCAAAAGCTTTTTAGAGTTATATTCTAGATGTTTATGACTATTGTTGTTGTGAGAAATACCCTAGAATCAATTTTTTTTCTTTTTAAGAATTAGATAAAAAATGTGCTGGAACCCAGATGTGTGATTTTTTACAAGCTTTCTCTTTGTTAATTGTAGGCTATTTCGTAAAATGGAGGCTTAGCGGCACAGTACAAATCAACCGCTCTGTGTATGAACAATATATCATCTCATGTATAGCTTTGACTTCAATAATGGCCCTGTTTAAAAAATAACCCTTTAGTATCCCAGTAGAACATACTCATGTGCCAACTCCAGTTTGTGAAGACAATCATAGTCAGAGTTGGTTTGTCCCTGGGTATCCAATGTTCTGAAGTGGTAGCCAGTCTTAGAGAAGATGTGCACTACCAGTATGTGCTCAATGTGAAGCTGTTGTTTTTCAATGGCTAACAGGGACTCCTATGAGATGGGCTGCATTACATGTCTGGGCTCACTTAAAAATGCGTAAGAGGCAATTTATCCTGCCCAGATAGGCCCTTAGGGACAAAGCCTAGGATTGTGCCCCCACAGTGTGGAGCTCAACTGGAGCTGAGCAACACAGTGAGGCTACATGCAACAGAGACTCTTGTCAGATTCCTCTTCTCTCCTCCCTACCAAGCCTTTACTCTCCTCCTTCCCCCAAAAGTATCAAGTTCATGTTGGGGGACAACGAAGGAAGGGAAGGCATCTGGGGCATTCAACTCCAGCCCTGCTTTCCGCTCCATGGTCCTAGTGCTGGGGAAAGAGATAGCAGGAGGCACAGAGCCACTTGGAGGGCCACTTGGAGGGGTGAGCTGGCAAGTGCCTTTATGAGGTCCCATTTTGAACTTGTAATACATATAAGACTTCCATTTACTTTAATGTGAGTCACACAGGAGCTGAAGGACAAGACACTAAGGCCCCCGTCTAACATCTATTTAAGTCAAATGAAGGATTCCTATTGAAGTCAATGGCAAGACACCCGCAGATTTCAATGGTACAGAATTAGGCCTTGGTCCTGCAAACACTTATACATGTACTTAACTATAAGCTTCAGACTAGTTTCAGCACAGTCAATGAGACTATTTATATGAGTATAGTTAAGTATGTGCATAACTGTTAGAAGGACTGGGGCCTTAAGACTTTAATCCTCCATCTTATAATTTTGAACATAATTTTTCAACTTATTAAAATCTTTTAGGACCTGATTCAGGAAAGCACTTAAGAATAGGCTTCCATTCATTCCTACTAAGTACTGTACTAAGTACAGTATATGCTTAAATGTCATCTTGAATAGGGATGCTTATTCTGGCACCTAAGAGTAAAAAAAGATGCAATGTAAATTTTAAATCTACTAATTTGTTAGGCCAAGTCATTTTTCTACTTTGCTTATGGTATTAAAAAAATTTCACTGAGTATTTCTGAATATGATAGTTATTACCATTGATTATATACTGTTTGACTGTTTCTAATCTGGATATATGTTATTTAATAATACAATACTAATTAAGAAGCCGTTTGCTTTCAAAGGTACTTGGTAGAAAGATAAAGTATGATTCCTCTTATAGCCACAGTGAGCCAGCTCTGACTGCATCCCTTAGGACAACAGAAATCCCTGATAGCAGCTGCTGAATTTTCATTTTCTGAGGGGGAAGTGTGCTAGTGAAGGAGGTTTCCCCTCTAGGAAGTGGTGTGTGTGTGTGTGTTGGTTGTTGTTGGTTCTGTTTTTTATTTTGCTAAAGGGAAGGTGGGTAGCATAGTAGGGATAGAAGAGCCATTCCCTTCTCTCCATAAGGTGGGCTAGTATTAGTCACTGCTGTGCATGTATGTTATATATAAATATACTAAGCTAGACCCTTAACAGGTGCAACTCAGTGGAGCGCCACTGAAGTCATATGAACTACTCTAATTTACAGCTGTGGGTCTGGCTCATTGTATTTGTGTTGTCTCTCCTTTTCTTCCTTCTTACAATATTTCCTAAACCCAAAAGTGTATGAGTCCAAGGGAAACTTTCAAAAGCCACAATGTCAGAAATCAAGCAGAACAAGTTTGTCTGCCTTTAATAAGGATGTCATAGTGCTCAGAATGGAAGATACTGGCTTAAAACTGAATCCCCAAGAAACGTGAAGCTGCATCAGTTCACCGTCTAGAGTGATGACAAACCAAACACTAGCTCTATAGATGACCAAGTCATGAGTTCACTGGAATGTAATATATCAAGTAGCCAGGCTGAAAAAAGGAGGGGGATATGTTAGAGATTTAGTCTGTGGAAAGAAAAGAAGTGTTAAAATAATATACCAAGAACCAAAGTCATGCAAGAATATTAAAAAACAAACTCATAGCGTGAAAAATCTGAAGCGTGGTTTATTTCCAGTATAGCAAAATGGGTTATGAAAAAAATGCATAGTCCAGACCAAAAGACAAGCAATTGGGATAAGGCTTCTAGTAGCATTAGACCACTGCAGTTATGGTTAACCTGATTCATCCTCTCCTGCTACAGCAGAGGTGGGCGAAATCCTGGCTGAATTGAAGCTAATGGCAAAACTCCCAATGACTTCACTGGGGTCAGCACTTCACCCTAACTCTTTCACTGACTGTGCAAGTGTAGGGCACTGCTTAATGATGGTGGCAGGGGAGTTCTGATAGTTAAAGGAGAGAGAGGTATAGAACAATTATAATAAACACAATTCCACAGAACAAAGCAAGGGAAAAGGAACTGATTCAGAGCAGAGAGAAAAGGGAAAAGACAAACTCAAACGCACACAACACATTTTCATCAGGGATTATTCTCCTCTCTGTGAGTGAGAACAACTCCTGTAGTTGAATCAGCTGAACTGGAATTTGGACTTAGCTATTGGTATAGAGTATCGACAGAGGGTTTTGAAGATGAAATGGACCAAACCCTAACCCTTTCCACTATGGGAATGTTGAACTTAATTTGCTTTCTAAAACCACTGTACTTATTGCATTTAATGGGTCAAATTCATCCCTACTGCAAGCTCAGTAAAGTCAGTGGAACTACATCACAGAAGAATTTGACCGAATGAGATTTAAACTATTTTTGTATTGTGATTATACAGGCTGATCACACAAATATGATTATAGAGGTGGAGAGTAGTTTTGGGCTATCAGGAAGAGATTCAAACCTGGGCTTTCTTCAGTTCCTGTTGTCCCCCACACAGGTGAACCAGCTTTAGATAGCAGGGCCTTGTATAATGTCCCCTCTAACAAAATGGTGGCAACTCCCACAGATTTCAGTAGGAGCTTTATATGTGCATCAGAGAACATATATTTGTCCATTCTACTGTTAGTCTCAGTTACAACAGTGCAGTATATAGTTGAAATTAGGAGATGTTTGATAATACAATGCATGAAATGATCATGAAGACAGACCAAGTGAACTGAATTAAGACTTTTAAAACCCACCCACAGAACTATCAAGCTTAAGAATTTTAATAAATTAGATAACAAAATGCAATACACGTTTGCCATACACATTTACAAAACACACTTGTTACTTTCTGTTGAATGCCAAAAGGCTCTGAACTTTAGAGAGCTTTAATAAGGATTTTAGAGAATCTGAACAGCATACAGTACATTTTACTGTTGTGTTTTTCACTTAGAAACCAAATGTAAGAGATTGTTAAACCAGCACTCAAGTTAAGCACATTTTCCACTCACTCCTAAAAAGAGAATGCTAGACTTTCTCCAGAATTAACAAAAGTAATTCCTTACTGTTCCTCTAAAATCACACAGATACAGAGGGGACAGATTAGAAAATAAAAGAAATAAATTTTGGAATAAAGAAAAAAATTGTAGGTCAGAGCTATTCTGCAGTTCTCATTCCTGCTTTGCTATCTTTTTTCTGGGCTCAGCTCCCTAACTCAGAACGCACCTGTGCTGCTGTATTAGAGTTCCTCTAATTTTGCCTTCCTGCACTTTGAACTGTATGATGAGGCTTGGTCTACACTAGTAACTTATGTTGGTATAACTACATCACTCAGGGACGTGGAAAATCCACATCTCTTAGCACAGACCACTCATGCCTGCCATATGTGTGACCCCTCCTTGGCCTGTGCCCAGCCTGGGGCCACCGTTCTTTCCCCGCCCCAAGAGTTAACTGCAGGGAGTGAGGGGCCTCTATCCTTCTCCCGCTATGCCTCTCGCCCAGAATGTTCGGCCGCTCTCCCTGGCAACTGAGCCCGGGTGCGGAGCGGCACAGAGCCACTTGTCACACAGCTGAAGCTGGCCACTCCGGCTCACTGCTCTGTGCAGCGCACCAGCAGCCTGAGAGACAGCCTGGCTGGGGAGGTGGCGGCGGCGATGGGCTGTCCCCCACTCAGGCCTGGCTGCTGGAGACAGGGGTTGAGCGAGCCAGAAACATGCCAGGGGAGTGGGTGCTCTGGCTCGCTCGGCCCTTGTCTCTGGCAGCCGGGCTTAGGCTGGGAGGTGGCTCTCTGCCACCTCCTCAGCTAGGCTCTCTCTCAGGCAGCCACCGTGCTGCACAGAGCAGTGACCCAGAGCAGCGGCATTAGAAGTGGCTGGTCCCACCCCTTCCGCTCCCTGCCTGGGCCCAGCTGCCAGGGACAGAGGCCGAGCATGCCCGGAGGCAGGCACAGCAGAAGAAGGACAGAGCCCCTTTCCCTCCCCCCCAGCAGGCCAAGCAGAAATCTGGGGGGCACTTGACACACACACCCCAGATTCCCCCCTTACGCGTCATCTATGCCCCTGAGTGACGCAGATATACTGACTTAACTCCTGGTGTAGATAGCGCTATGTTGATGGGAGGGCTTCATAGCTACTGCCTCTCAGAGAAGGTAATTACCTGTGTTGACAGGAGAAGCCCTCCCATTGGTGTGGGTAGCATCTTCACT